ATATAGAAAATCAATCTTTTTTCATTTCTTTTCCTAAGATTGTTAAAATAACAAATTGCAGCCAATTTCTAAACATCCTGTATATACTTTGTTGGGTACATTTCTTATAGTTATTGAATAGTTAGCAAAAATTCATTTTGTTCTTTCTAAAACCATTGCATGTATTTAAAAGTTAATGCTGCTAATAAGGTAAGGTAATATACAGGTGTCTCACACAACTGGTTCGTTAGATTTGAAATTTTGATAGCGTGAGTTGTTCGATCTAAAATATTTTCAAGATTGCCGCAATCTGATTTAGTAGTGGTAATAATCATTAAAGGATTAAAGCAACACAACATAGTAGTAAATTTGTAATTAATTAGGTAAATTTATTAATTTTTTTAGTTATAAAGCTGTTCTTTTTTAACACGAATGGATAGAAAATTAAAAATCCTTTAAAATGAACCCAAACTTGACCTATTTATCTCCAACCGTTATCAAGATATCTTGATTTTTAACAAAAAAAATGGCGATTATTTGACATTTGACAGTTTCTAACCTAACTTTTTTATTTTTAAACGGAAACATATCACGTTTGGTATTAAATGATAACTTTTTGATTCGTATTAAGATCATTTTAATATTTATCAAAAAATTATTATATTTAATTTTGACATTTGACAGGTTCTAACCTAATTTTTTAACTCAAATATATCATGGTTGGTATCAAATGAAAACATTTTTGATTCTTATTAAGATCATTCGATATTTATCACAAAATCGTTATATTTAATTTTGACATTTGACAGGTTCTAACCTAAAGTTTTTATTTTTTAACCCAACTATATCATGTTTGGTATCAAACTAAAGCATTTTTGATTCTTAATAAGATCATTTCGATATTTATCACAAAATCGTTATATTTAATTTTGACATTTGACAGATTCTAACCTAACTTTTTTATTTTTTAACCCAAATATATCATGTTTGGTATCAAATGAAAGAATTTTTGATTCGTATTAAGATCATTTCAATATTTATCAAAAAATCGTTATATTTAATTTTGAAAAAATGAAAAAAAAAAATTAAACGTCAAATTTATCGAATTACAAAAGATTTAATCTAAAATGCGCAGTTATCTTTGGGTTTGAGGATTTTTATTTGTTTAAAGTTTTAACAGTTTTAAGTTCGCTCATTCTTACGCGTAGCACAAAAATTCCGTCGAAGTTATTTTTTCTTTCTTAGCTGTTCTATTTTTTAACATTAATTGGTAGAAAATTAAAAATACTTTAAAATGAACCCAAACTCGACCTATTTATCTCCAACCGTTATCGAGATATCTAAATTTTTAGCAAAAGAAAATGGCGATTATTTGACATTTGACAGATTCTAACCTAACTTTTTTATTTTTTAACCCAAATATATCATGTTTGGTATCAAATGAAAGAATTTTTGATTCGTATTAAGATCATTTCAATATTTATCAAAAAATCGTTATATTTAATTTTGACATTTGACAGATTCTAACCTAACTTTTTTATTTTTTAACCCAAATATATCATGTTTGGTATCAAATGAAAGAATTTTTGATTCGTATTAAGATCATTTCAGTATTTATCAAAAATTTGTTATATTTAATTTTGACATTTGACAGATTCTAACCTAACTTTTTCATTTTTTAACCTAAATATATCATGTTTGGTATCAAATGATAGCATTTTTGATTCTTATCAAGATCATTTCAATATTTATCAAAAATTCGTTATATTTAATTTTGACATTTGACAGATTCTAACCTAACTTTTTTATTTTTAACCCAAATATATCATGTTTGGTATCAAATGATAACATTTTTGATTCTTATCAAGATCATTTCAGTATTTATCAAAAATTCGTTATATTTAATTTTGACATTTGACGGATTCTAACCTAACTTTTTTATTTTTTAACCCAAATATATTATGTTCGGTATCAAATGAAAGTACTTTTGATTCGTGTTAAGATCATTTCAATATTTATCAAAAAATCGTTATATTTATTTTTGACATTTGACAGATTCCAACCTAACTTTTTTATTTTTTAACCCAAATATATCATATTTGGTATCAAATGATAGCATTTTTGATTCTTATCAAGATCATTTCAGTATTTATCAAAAATTCGTTATATTTAATTTTGACATTTGACAGATTCTAACCTAACTTTTTTATTTTTTAACCCAAATATATCATGTTTGGTATCAAATGAAAGAATTTTTGATTCGTATTAAGATCATTTCAATATTTATCAAAAAATCGTTATATTTAATTTTGACATTTGACAGATCTAACCTAACTTTCTCATTTTTTAACCTAAATATATCATGTTTGGTATCAAATGATAGCATTTTTGATTCTTATCAAGATCATTTCAGTATTTATCAAAAATTTGTTATATTTAATTTTGACATTTTACAGATTCTGACCAATTTTTTTATTTTTTAACCCAAATATATCATATTTGGTATCAAATGAAAGTACTTCTGATTCGTATTAAGATCATTTCAATATTTATCAAAAAATCGTTATATTTAATTTTGACATTTGACAGATTTTAACCTAACTTTTATATTTTTTAACCCAAATATATCATGTTTGGTATCAAATGAAAGCGTTTTTGATTCTTATTAACATCATTTCAATATTTATCAAAAAATCGTTATATTTAATTTTGACATTTGACAGATTCTAACCTAATTTTTTTATTTTTTAACCCAAATATATCATATTTGGTATCAAATGAAAGCATTTTTGATTCTTATTAAGATCATTTCGATCAATCACTTCGAACCTGTTTCTGAAGAAGGTTGCAACATGGCATCCGAAACGTCAAACACTTTTTCCAAAGACGGCTTAAACTTTGGCTTAAACATGATAGTGAGGTAATATACAGGCTGTCTCATGTAACTGGTTCATTAAAACTTTTTCTGGTTCCACTATTCGTAGAGATTTGAAACTTTGGTAGCATGGATTGTTCATTCGGAACTTTCGAATTAAAATATTTTCAAGATGGCCGCCACTTCCGATCTACCACAAGTAGACCATAACTTCGTTAAGTTATTGGTACTTTGGTTTTAAGCTTTTTTTGGTAAATTTCTACATTGGCACGATTACTCTTCAGATGCTGTCAAATGTTATTGTTTCTCCATATTCAATGGCGAGAAAGTCGGAAATTTTAAATAAATATTTTTTTACGTACAATAAAAGGTAATAAAAACTATAGCATTCCATTTAAAATAACGAAGTTATGGCCTACTTCCGGTAGACCGGAAGTGGCAGCCATTTTGAAAATATTTTAGATCGAAAGTTCCGAATGAACAATTCCATGCTACCAAAATTTCAAACCTGTAGGAATAGTGGGAACCTAAAAGGTTGTAACGAAACAGTTACATGAGACACTATATATTCTTAAATTCTGTATTGAAGTAGTATCAAACAAATGCCTCGGCCGCAAGCGACCTCGGCTTGTAATTAGATAGAATCATATATTTTCTGCCACCCAAGTTGCAACACATGAACTGCGAAGCCTCGCCCGCAAGCGACCTCGGCTCTGTCATAAATTCAGTCAAGGTCGTTTGTGGCCGAGGCAATGAAACAATAATATCCACTCTTGTATCAATGTGACATAACTAAGGCCTCGGCCTAAATATGATATTGTATACATTTTTTGTCATAATTTACATTCTGTCGGCGAGGTGCTGCAATGTATATTCTTAAATTCTGTATTAAAGTGGTATCAAACTAATGCCTCGGCCGCAAGCGACCTCGTCTTATAATTAGATGGAATCATACATTTTCTGCTACCGACGTTGCAACATATAATGCGGAGCCTCGCCCGCAAGCGACCTCGGCTCTGTCATAAATTCAGTCAATTCTGTCAAATTCGCCATCATGTTGACAACTGTAGAAACAGAAATAATGGATACTTTTTGTGCTATCCAAGAACTTGGCGACAATAGGACGAAAGAAAGTTTATTTAAAATAAAGCACAAATTTATTCTTAGCAAATAAGATAATATCTTTTAAGAATAATATCTTTTAACCACTTAATACTAAAAATAACTGTGTTGACCAAAACTCCTTAACTAATAAATAGTGAGTCAAAGTTGGAATCGGACTTCAGTTTTCGTATATCAGGTCAAACAAAGAAGTTTTCTGTCAATTTTGCTTTTGACAGATGAGAAAACTGCTCGGCGATGTACTTAAAATATTATCCACATTAGCCTAAGGCCTATCATCTGTTCTTGATATCCAATTGACGTTCATAACAAATTAAAAAAGGATTTTAAGAAGATGTTATAAAGATCAGGAACGATGATGGAAAATATTAGAATTTTTTTTTATTTATTCCAGCCAGTATTATTGTAATCGTCGTCCCCGTTGCATCAATAGCATGCGGATTCGTAATGGATTCTCTTGGAAGATTAAACACCCTAAAATTAACAACATTACCAGTGACAATCGGATGGATTTTAATCGCAACAGCCCAAAATATTCCAATGATTCTCGTGGGAAGATTATTAACTGGATTAGCCGGATGTAAATAATCTTATAACTTATAAATCAACATTAAATTGATTTCTTTTAGCTTTTGGTACGAGTCCGGCTATCGTTTACATAACGGAAATTGCCAGGGCTGATATGAGGGGGTCATTAATCTCCTCAGCACCGGCTTACGCTTCTTTGGGAATGGTACTGGTTTATTTTATGGGGTGGTTCATGGACTGGCGGACTTTGTCGTGGGTTTGTACCGCTCTCACGATCGCCCCCTGCTTTTTGATTATGTTAATACCGGAAAGTCCGGTTTGGCTGATTAGTAAGGGCCGAATTGAGCAGGCGAGGAAATCGTTACAATGGATTCATAAGTATCATCCGAAACCACAAGATAGGGTAAAATAATAATTAGTTTGTCCACGACTACCTTATAATATATACGAAACGTCAAAATTTCAAAAAACGTCAATTTAATTTAATTTTTTCGTATGATTTAAGCATAAATTAATTAATTTTCTTAAAAAAAACAGACATTTCATAAAATTGACATTTAATTTTGACAAATTGTTGTGAAGTTGATTACAGTTGGTAACATTGAATTTGTGTCACATTGACGTTTAAACTTTATGAAAAAATTGATTTAAAAAATAGTATATTATTATATGAGCATACAATGAGGGCTATTATTCACTAATAACTATTATTAAACACTCACAATAATACACAAGATCAACTTAAATATAACAACGGTTCAATTGGTGTAACGTAAAATGTACTAGAAAATGATGTTAGGGATTTTTAATCACACTTTTCCCAAGGTTTGTAAAGTGTATTGTACCATACGCTTTACAAACCTTGACTTTTCCAACACAACCTAACCTCACTTTTTCAAATAACACTTTTTTGACGTTTTATTAAAAAAAATTATTTAACTCACTCAGTTTTAGATTTAAAACTAAAAAGAAATTTGCGTCATAGAAGCTCGTTTTACGTTATTAAAAAAAATCAAATAGTAATTCGTGTTTATCATGGTTCTAAATTAGGTTAAAATATTTGACATGATGTGAAGATAGTTACAAACGTATATTTTAAAACTTTTCGACAGGTGCGCTATCTCCTATGCGTCTTAAAGTGACATTTTTTGACGTTTCATTAAAAGAAATTTATTTAGCTCATTTTGCGTTAGAAATAAAACTAAAACTAGAAATTTTAGGGTTATGCCGTGCGTCAAAGACGCACTTCAATTTTAGGGTTATAACCTCAATATTTCTAGTTTTAGTTTTATTTCTTATTAGATCGGCAGTAACGGTTGTGATAAACGTCACTTGAAAAAGTGAGGTTAGGTTGGGTTGAATGGACATTTCGTATCTTGTGAGTTTATTTTTTGTGGCTGTTTCAAGCCAGATGGCTTTTTATGAATCGCTAATATGAAGGAAAATCTTCGAGAACGCACTGAGTGAGTAAAATAAATTTTTTTTCGTCAAAAACGTCAAAAAGTGTCACTTGGAAAAGTGAGGTTGGGACAAAAATAACACATTTCCCCCCAGCACAGTTTTAAACTAACACGGCCGTTTTCGAAGACATCGGCCGCCCCCAAGAACTCAAGATTCTTAATGTTGTAGCGTCTGGGATGGCCGATGTCTTCGAAAGTTCTTCGACGTTGAAGATTCCTAACCTCACTTTAATAACACAACCTAACCT